CATTGATATTCAGCAGGAGGCAGCTAATGAAATGAATAGTCAAGTTGCCTTACGTGAGAAAAATAAGATAAACTGAGTTTGCTTCCTTAAGGAGGTGGTGAAAAGAAGAAATTGTAAGAGGAACAGCAAGGGCAAATTCTGAGTTGGTGAAAGATTCCTGAATGAACTCACCCCTGTTTCCAAGCCAATCAGATCTCAGGTGCCGAGGGTTACAACTCCCAGCATGCCATGCACCCAGCCTGCTGAATTGCTGTAGCACTGAAAACTAGGGGCAAACCTGAGCTGCCATGTTGGACACAAATGGCTGAACATATGTGTGCCTACTCTCTCTTGTTTATCTGGTTTCAGCTCACACCTTTGATCAGATGGTTTTGCTGATAGGACATGTTGGCCAATCAATCTTTTCTATCTCTTTGTTCTCTCTTTACTCCCAGTGCTACCCCAATTCAGGAAGTCAGATTCGCCCTCTCTTCACTCTTAAAAAATTTCATTTTGGATAATTTTTCATTTTTGCACAATGTGTACATTTTCATCTTGATTATATTCCCCATACAAATCCCACCCCCCTTATTTTGACCCTAATCCTTCCTTCCCTCCACCCCCACCATAGTGTGTATCTGGTTTATAATTGCTTGTTGCTTGTTGATTTTTACTTTATTATAATTAGTCTTTTCCCTGGTCCCTTATTTAGGTTTCCAAAATTCCTGCTATGAGTGAGACCGTCTGGTATTTTTCTTTTTCTTTCTGGCTTATTTTGCTGAGCATGATCCCAAAATATATAAAATTAAATTAAATTAAAAAAAATCATTTTTGGGTCTTGTCTTTATTTCTGAAGAGCATGAATGAAAACTCATAGCATGAGTCATCCCTGTTTCCCAGGCATTGCCTTGTAATAGCTTGGTGCTCCAATGTAGTGTTATCACACCCATGGTGGACTTCCTGCCATTGGTCACCATAGTGTATTACCATTGTGGGACACATGGCAAGGTTTTTTTCTGTTCCTAATTTAGAGGAGTTTGGATTTTACTTGGAGTGCTCTCTCTCTCTCTCTCTCTCTCTCTCTCTCTCTCTCTTTCTGTGTGTGTGTTTTGATTTAACCATAGATTCAATCTTTAGGCAGTTCTGCCTCTCCTCCACTTCCTCATTCTCCTCCTCCTCTGCCTTCTTCTTTATATTTTGGTTTGGGTGATTTGATAAAATTTGGCTTACAGAATCTGATTTTGGTCTTATAGGAGGCCTTATGGGAGGTACTGTGGGCATATGTATGGGGGACGGTTTCAGCCTCCATCTTAGAATTTTCTTCTACTGAGGGGTTTCTTATAAACTAGGTTAAGAAGAGACAGAGACTCATTTGATGGCACAAAGAAAGGCAAAGTAGTATTTCTCCTGCTAGTATTAAAGGGGAGGAAGAGAGGGCTACTACCACTTATTGGAGACTTTGAGCATCACAGGAGGCAACTTGCCAGACACTATTGGCCCCTTTACACTGGGGCCCCCTGAATTGGAGAAATTTCATCTCTCCATACTGACAGGACCCTGAAAAAATAGTTGATTTGTTTGCCTCTGTTTTTGTCTCCAATTAGCCTATCTGAGGGATACGCAATCCATGCTATATATGCTTTTAATGTCAGATGAGTAGTGAATGGTTTTAGGGAAGGTTAGTGAAGAGGTTCACTGTCTCTGCTTAGAGGATCTAGAAACCCTGCAACCAAAAGTCTGTCCCAATGGTGGACCCTAACTGGGACTATATTTGTGGGGGAATGGAAAGGATAGAACACTCTAAGAGGTCCTTATTAGTAGGGCTGAGTCAGGGAATGATTCAGCAAAAGAGCTTTGGTAAGATGTTGGAGATTTTAGCAAAAGGCCAGTGAGGATTCATCTGAGTTTCTTGAAAGGATTATCTGAACTTAGAGTGCTTACACAGATGTAAATCAGATGCACCATAAAATGCTCAGATGATTAACATGACATTCAGTAGGCACAATACCCTGGATATAAGCAGGGAATTAACCAGCATATAAATTTCTGTAGTGATGAGGCCTTCCCACTTGGTAGATATAGTCTTTAGAGTTTTCAAAGCGAGAAAAGAAAGGCCTAATCCTGGAACTATTTTGTGTTGCTAGAAGACAGGACAGGATTTAGGATGAACAGAAAAGAGGCACCAAGAAGAAATAGGAGAAGCAAACCATTATGGAAGAATCAGTATGCTTATTGTAAGGAAGAGGTACATTGGAAGAGCAGGTGTCCAGGCTGGAATTAAGAAAAGGAAAAAAGGAATGAGAAAGTGCATAAAAAAAAGAGGAGGCAGACAACAGTTCAGAATGAGGATTCAGGTAAGAGTCACAGAAGGGAATAGAGGTAGAGTAGAAGGCATGAAGGAGCAAGGAAGGAGGAAAGGACACAGATAGTCCAGAGTGGTGGCTCAGACGAAGAATAGGAGGCCTGGAGCTCCACTCAATCTGAATTTAAGATTAGTACACATGGTCAAAATCTTAAATGAAAATTAAGATATCCCTGTGTTTGTTTCTTTTGTCACCATATGGTAATATCAGAATTAATTCATATATAACTAGATTATAAATGGTGCCATATATATTTTTATATAATGTAGAGTAACCCAAAAGTTCTTTTTTTTTTTTTTTTTAAGATTTCTTTATTTATTTATACAAGCACTGGGTACAGTCAGAAGTGCGGGAGGGTGAGAGAATTCACCAGAGCCAGAGCGGGGAACAGAACAGGCAGACTGACGAAATACACTGCTGAAGGGAGCAGAGGGAGCAGCAGGAGAGGTCTGTTGCGCCATGTGGGACCCTCTCTGGGGGCAGGGATCGAACCGGCGATGCAGAGGCTGCGGGCAGCTTCGCAGCCCAGCGCTCAACCGCTGCGCCACCGTGGGAGGCCCCCCAAAAGTTCTTTTTGAAGAAACTGTGATCTAACATAATTTTTGGTTAATAAGAATTAATTCAAAATTTAACAGATTCAACAGAGCCCTGCCGACCTAAACATCTGTGTACAGCTCTGGTCTGAAGTTTGCACCTTGCTTTTAGGGCAGTACATGCTGCCTCCAGTGTTTTGATCACTCCTCAGTCTCTTTGTATCTCATTTGCCCTGGATATAATTTCTTCTCTATCCTCAGGAATCTTACCCTTCATAGCAGTATCTAAAATTCTCTGGGATTTTATTCTTTTCTCACTGTTTTTGTGAACTATGTGAATGTGTATTCTCTGCTTTGGTTGCCCTGTTATTGGTAAAAAGTGTCCTACTACGCAGTTACAGAACTGAGGATTTGTGGTTTCAAATCTCTGACTCTTTCCATATCTTGGCATTTAAGATACTTCTCATTTGACTCTTTCACACTGTCCTCAGGTTGACCTGGAGTTTTTTTTTTTTTTCTTTTTTTTAAAAGAATTATTTATTTATTTATACAAGCACTGGGTACAGTCAGAAGCGCGGGAGGGTGAGAGAATTCACCAGAGTCAGAGTGGAGAGCAGAGCAGGCACAGTGACTAAGTACACTGCTGAGGGGAGCAGCGGGCAGCAGGAGAGGTCTGCGCACCATGTGGGACCCTCACCTGGCAGCCAGGGATCGAACCAGCACTGCAGAGGCTGCGGGCAGCTTTGCAACCCAGTGCTCAAGTGCTGCGCCACCGGGGAGGCCCTGACCTGGAGTTTGTTGGGCAATTTGATCCTAGGTAAATATTCCTTTCTGCATAAATTTTAAAAAATATTCAAAAAAATAATGAGTCAATCTAAACTCCAAATATGTTCATGAAGAATAAATCATGACATCTTTTCCTAACATTTTGGCAGAGTCTCAACTTCAATATTAAGTTGATCTCACTAAAAAAGCAATAGTAATCATCAGGTTATCAATATCTTTTAACAAAATAAGATGGGGAAAATCACAATGTAACTTGATGAAGTTAAAATGAAAATGAGACTTAGAACAGGTAATTCACACTAGTTAATAAATACATAAGGTAGAGGCTATCTAAATACAATTATCTACCAGAAATCTTATCAACTGTAACTTATCAAATGGTTCCTCAAGTTTGAAATACATCATCACTTAGATTAGCATGACAATTGAAATAACAAGTCTCATAAAACTAACTTGGAGGGATTTAAAATAAGGTAAGTTTGCACTATAATTTGGAAGGAGAATTTATTTTTTAGAGGTGATTATAAAAATAGCAAAGGGCCTTTGGTGTTAATGACTAGCATTATATAGTGAACTTAAAAAAACATAAGAGGGAATTATAATAGAAGGTATATGTAACCAAATTAATTCACAAAATAACTCTATTCTCGGGAGTGTACGTGTATTAGGCTGACTTGTGGAGATTCTGCCCAGTTCATCAGGCCTCTTTGAATGGCTCCCTTCTCGGACACTCCTCTCACCAGTTATTTTATGCATCATCCCAACCCTTTGACAGCTGTTTATTGAGCCAAAAGAATACCTTGGCCTGCTTTTGTGAACACTAGGAGCAATGAAATCCTCTACAGAGAATGAGGCAACTGTCCACAGGGAGCAGAAATGCTACAGCACTTTCTTCAGAACGCTTGTATCCCTGCTCTTGCATATGACAGCTGAATCCTGACAGTAAATTTCCCTTTTCTGATTAAATTTAGTAAACATTCAATGCTGCTGAGCCTGTGGTGAGATATATTTATACATAATTGGCAGTATTATAAACTGGTGCAAATCTTAAGAAATATTTGACAAAATGTATTAAAAATATTAAAAATATTCGTATCTGTGTATTTAATTGTACCACTTCTAGGAGTGAATCATGAGGAATTTATCAGGTTCATGTACTTGTAGGTTCATTTAAATGCAATTTATGATACTGAGAAGTCAGAATAAAACTAAATATTCTAATTTGGACTAGTTAAACATAACAAGATATGACTGTGTTTTGTAATGCTATGTAATCATTAAAATGTCTTAGGAAAATATTTAATGGTATAACAAACCATTATACTATCACATAAAGTGAAAAATGAAAATAATATTCACATTATGATCCCAATATCATGATTTATCTTTGTACTTATGTGTAATGAATATTAAAAATGTAGACCACCCAAATGCAAAAAATTGCTACTTTTCAGCAGAGGAACTAAACATGACCTTTTAATGCTCTCCTATGCCTTTTCAATTTCCTATAATGATCATGTATATAAATGGATATGTCCTATTAAAATTATGTATAAAATGATGTATTATTTTAGTGGACGGAATACGTTTTTTTTCTTTGTCATACATAAATTTTGGAAAACGCAAAGCTATGTGATTATTCCATGTTATATAGTGGATTAAAATGTGTTCTTTGTGGCAGGATACAAAATCTATCACCAACAGTATTAAACTACCAATTGTATCTCAATTTAAATGGAAAAATGTTTATACTTAATCACTGTTATCTCACTTTAAAATTAAACCAGCATCTATTTTAAGAAATGGAGAGTAAGTACATTATAATGAAATTATTTATTTTAATGTAAATATAACTGTTTTAATCAACAGTTTAGAGATATACACATTATGTATGTAGGTAGACTATATACTTTCTAAAACAGTAAAGTATACTTATACGGTCTCTTTCACCACAAAACATATATACTTCTCAAATATGATGAGGAAGACACAACTACCTAGGGACAGAGTAACAACTTTGCTAGTAATTTAACCTTTATACGTGACTTTAGTAAGATCCCTATACAAATAAACCAGTTAGCTGGCAATTTTTGGCAATGTGAATTTGTAAGACACTGGGTGAATTTCACAAAAGGTTGAAATTTGACAACTGCTCAGTGGGTCTTTGAACAAAACATGTGATTGCAAGTGGACCACTGCTGCTAATGGCTACATAGGCATGAAGCTTTACTGTCCTTTGGGAACTAGGCAGCATGATCTTGCACTCTGATCTCCTGTGGCAGCACTAAAGGTATGTAATATATTCTAAATATCTGCATGTGGAGATCAAAAAGAAAAGAACAAGAAAAGACTGGGGAGACTGCATTTCTGCCCATAAAACTTTCCAAAAGAACACATTCATTCAACTTTTGACATCCTCCTTGGAGCAGCCATCATGCATGTAATGCAAAATGAGACAAATGTACCTTTGCTTAGTTTTATTGCAAAGGGAAAGAAAAGCTTTTGTTTAAAGATTTAGAAAAATAGGTAGAGACCACATAATCCATTTTCTTCTTAAATTTGGGGAAAAAGTAGCTAACATTCACTTCATAGTGAAGTGCTGTAGAGGAATGTTTTTCTTGTTCCTTGTTTCATAAGATAAATTCTTAGACAGGTTTGAAGTCTGTCACTCAATCTCAAAGCGTGGGGCTGGCTTCTTGGAGGATGAGCTTCCATTATCTGAGGGGCGGTAGGAAAGTGTGCTCATTTTTGTTGATAGGTTTGAGTGGGATTTGGCCTTTGGAGGAATGTATTTCAGAAGCTGAAGAAAATATTTTTTAAACTTTTTCCCCAAAAAACCATAAAAAAGAGGATTCAGGCAATTGTTAAAATAAGCTATGCAAATTGTGATGGGCATGGCCGTGTCGACAATATCTGCAATTTTGCAGTCATGTATGATGCCCAGCTGAATCAAGACATCCAGGAAAGTGAATATTTGGTGGGGAACCCAGGAAAAGAAAAAGAAAAGCACAATTGCCATAATTATCTTGAAAATATCATCATTTCTTGGCTTGTTCTTCTGAATTTCATAAGCCTTCTTGAGGGCCTTCCAAATAAGTGTATAACTTGTAAGAATGATCAGAAAAGGAAACAAGAAACCCAGAATATTCTTGGTTAGGCCCAGTCCAATGGGGAGGGTTGAATTTTGGAATTCGTAATGGAAAGCACAAACTGTAATATTGGTATTCTCAATGAAAAATACATTTCGATGGATTATAGTTGGCAAACTAGCCAAAGCTGCCAGCAGCCAAATAATGATGCAGGTGACTTTGGCTACAAGCATTGTGCGACGAAGACGGGACTTCATGGGGTGAACAATAGCCAAGTAGCGGTCTATACTAAGGCATGTGAGTAGAAACACACTGGCATAGAGGTTGAAACTGACACTGGCTGAGGCAATCTTACATAGGTAATTGCCGAAAGGCCAGCGGTATTCCATTGCAGTGTATACAGCCCATAGAGGCAATGTCAGTAAAAAGCATAAGTCAGCCAGTGCTAAATTTAAAAGAAAAACACTGGCCACGGTTTTCAGCTTCATGTAAAAGTAAATGACAATCACCACTAAGCTGTTTCCAAATATTCCCACCACAAAGATGATACTGTATAAAGTAGGGATCATGACAAATATGTAGTTGTGTCTTCCAGCTTTGGGGCAGTCATCTTGGATTCTTTTAATGCCATCTTCAGTGGAAGAGTTGAGAATCATTTTGATCTCCTGGGTTAATTAGTATCAGACACTATGCCACATACACCTGGGGAAATAAAAAGGAAGAGAAAAATTAACTTCCAGTTGCAAACAAATCATTTTAATTCTCAATTCAAACAGTAAATTTTAGTCTTAGGAAAAAAGCTAACTCATATTTTGTGGAGTAAAACTGAGAACTCACAAAGTCTAAGATTATACATTTACATTAAATTTTAGAACATACTATTTTCTAGGAAAGATAAATATTCCCCAGACAAGTGGAATCAACGATATGTTAAAAAAAACTTACCTAGATCTTTTGTATTTTTTTACTGCAAACAAATCCTAGCTTCTGAATTGATTTAAAAAGTAACTTAATAATGAATTATTTGACAAAGTAAAACTCTTAAAAAATGAGCAGACATTAATAAAAGCAGTGAGGACTCTGAGGTTAGCAGGAAAGGCAGAGGGAAAAAGGGACAAGAAGATATAAAAGATGATGGAAGGAAAAAAGATCTTACACTGTTAACGAATTCTGTAGGTTATTTGGAAAATGTTGATTCAAGTTATGTTTTGTATATTTCATTAATTTCCCATTAAGAACCTGTCATATATATTTGTCATCATATCCTACTCTGAATTTAAATCTCAGAAAACAAAACCAAATTAAGTCAGTCATTCAGAAAAGAGGAGTTTTCCTTAGGTTAAAAAAAAGGCTAATTAGTCTTTAACATCAAAAGTGTGACATATCTATATCTTATTCTTTAAACTATTTTTTTCATCTCACAATCTTTACTTAAGTAAAATTATTAGTATCCTCCCTCAAGTGGTCAGATTAGCTGCCTGTAGCTTACTGAGCAATTGGCCATTGTGGGAAATGATTTAAGATGGATAGGAGAGAGGGCAGGCCTGACTTAGGGAACAGCATTCTCTCCGTGGTTTTCCAGGCTGCTGCAGGCTGTAACCACTTACTCTAAGTTCCAATTGGGCAAAAAGGCTTGTCTCTGTTTTGTGGCTCTTAGCTATTTTTGGAGTTAACTGTGAGATCAACTTTTTTTTTTCCCTACTCTTACGGACTTTGTTTTCTTTTTTATGTTGAAAAATTAAAAAAAAAACATAAATGTATAGAGAAAAATATAACACCTGCTTTTACAACTAGAAATTAACAAGTATTCAAGTTCTTTTTGTTAAAGATTTTAAAATCATTTTTATGATTTACCCATCATTTATGTAACTAATGTTAGGAGCACAACTTCACATGCACACATGCTTCACTCACCCACCACCAAAGCTCCAGTGCCAAAACACGACTCCCTGTTCCTCCCCACTACATTTTTCAGAGTTTAAAAATCGTTTTTGTTGTGTTTTGTCAGTTTGTTTTCTTTAGCTATTTATATTCCACAACTGAGTGAAACCATCTGGTACGTGTCTTTCACTTTCTGATTTATTTCGCTTAGCATAATCACCTCTAGATTCATCCATTTTTCCCCCCAAACCACTATTTCATTTTTTAAAATCAGTGAGTAGTATCCCATAGAGTATATTCCACAATTTCTTTATCCAGTAATTTGTTGATGGGCATTTAAGTTGGTTCCGTGACTTGGCTATTGTGAAAAATGTTTCTGTAAACATAGGTGGGCATAAATCTCTTCTTATTAGAATTTTAATATTCTTTGGGTAAATACCTAGCAGTGGTACTACTGGATCATATTGTATTTCCATTTTTATTTCATTTGCGTAAAGAGATGAACTATTTGTATAATAGGCATGTTAAATAACTAGATTAGTTCAAGATTATCAACAGAAGATATCTTTTGCAAAGGCTCAAAACAGCAACAATTCTTCAGGAATTTAGGACTTATAAGGAATTTAGGACTTATAAGATGCTCAGAAATGCACTCCACAAAGGCTTCTACAAATAATTGCTCCAATATTTCACATAATTAACAATAAAGCTATTCTTTTATGTGATTTTAAAAAATCAACACTTCCTAAGTGTTCATCAGTAAACTCTTAGGAAGGAGGATGAAAATGCTGCGAAGGGAATACCTCAGGGCGTGGCACAGGCTGACTCTGAGGTTAAAGTCAGCAGTGGGCACAGGCAAGAATGGTCCAACTAAGGAAAGGTGTTTAGCAAAGACCCTATTTCAGGGTCCCAGCAGGAACATGGCTATGCATTCCACTGTAGCAATGTGTCTTGAGGAAAAAGAGGGACAGGAATATATGGTCTGCCCAGCAAAGCTGTGTTTACAGCTGGATAAACACATGCACTTAAGGAAGAGTCCATCTTGCCGCAAAATGGTGCTGGGAAGTCATTCGAGGAGCGAGCTTTTAAGAGAACTGGGGGGAAGAAAGGGTTTGTCATGTGGTCTATTTGTTCCCCCCAAGAAGGTAGTTATTCTCCTAATTCATTGTCTACTCTTTTTGTATTCAGTTTGTATGAATCTAATCACTTTCTTCTTTTTTTTTCATTCAGGGAATATTAGCATTCATAAACAGGTATCATCCTCCCCAAAGATCATATGCTTTGTGGAGCCCCTGACTTTTCTGGATAATTGGCTATTCCATTTTCTGTGCTGCTTTGCTTGACATTTTGGATGTGAATTTTGACACTACACTATAATGGTCTGTTGATCCATCTTCTTCACTGGTTTATTCATCAGTTGTTTGAGTGTAAAGGCTGTTTTAAATCATTTTGTTAACTAGGGGTGCCTCCAGAACATTATAGGGAGAAGATGATTAATGATGAAAAAGAAAGTAAGTGAACAAGTAATTGAGTGACTAGCATATAAATTATGAACTATGAGTATAGGGTATTGAGACTAATTTATCTGGGGCTACCAAAATAAATTTACATAATAATCCCCAAATAATCTCATAGACTACACTCAGTGTCAATCTGGGCTTCCTCATGGACAGGAAGCCAAAATCAAACCAAATGCAAACAAAGCCAAAAAGACAAAAAATATCCTTGGTACTTTCAGTATTCTTTGGTATATAAAACAGAAAAAGATGAAAAGAAGGAATTATATAATAGGAACTGTGGCTAGACTCTCAAGGAGGTGTCACCTATTTCTCCCTCAACTTGAAGGATTTCCCTACACTTTGCTGTTCTTTCAATTTATTTTACTATTGTTACTTAAATTATGCCAATTTAGAAGCATGAATTAATTTAGGTAAACAAATGCTTTCTATTAAAAATTTAATACCTCAAAAAAGTTTATGGGCTAACAGTCATTTATGCCTTAATATAGATTAATTTACTTATTTGCTCTTTTTGTAATATCTAAATGAGATCAGTTGGATTTTGCCTAGGAAAAAATTGGAAATGTCAAGGTTAAATAATCTCAGAGATTAAAAAGGGTCTGGTGAACTCTGTAACTGAAAACTAGAACAGAGGTAAATATTTGCTCAGCTTGGATGCAAGGGCACTAAAAGATAGGGCAAAATTAACTTTATACATTAAGATCTCTTGGGTGCCTGAGACCAGGGAAGAAAGTCTCTTCTCTTTTATCTTTCTTTTCTCAACCCTACTTTGAAGGGCACATAATTCAGATTGGTTCCATCAATCCTGTTTCTAGAGTGAACAGAATTTTATTGTATTGTTTGGAACTATTATTTGTAATAAAATGCTGTGGGGAAAAGTCTGCATTTGAAAGGACTCATTTATAAACATAGTTTTTCAAAACTCTAAGATTTTTTTATTTTTGTGTAGAAGAACTGGGGTGTAGGCCATAGATTTGGGGGTGTGAGGATTCACCAGAGATAGAGTAGGGGGTAGAACACAGGAGGATTTACTGAAATACACTGCTGAGGGGGGCATTAGGTGAGACAGGAGAGGTCTCCTATGCCATGTGGGTTAGCTCCCTGGCCAGGGACATGGAATTCAAGCGGTAGTGGTGATAGCACTGAGACTTAGCGCTGAGATTTAACCCCAAGACCACCTGGGAGGGCCGTAAACATAGTTTTAATCTCCAACTCCTTCACAAGTTGAGGTTCCCATCAATTTATGTTGATGAATAATTAATATATAGAAGGCTGCTCAAACCACTAATGGAGCATCTCTGGAATTTTAGTCACATATTTATTATTATTCTAATGAGTGTATCACTTGAGCTTGATATTGCATATACTAATTAAAAGAACATTTTACATAAATGCTTATATAAGTAATGTTCAATAATTCTTATCTAGTAAAGACACACACTCTCTCATACTTGTGTGTGGAGGGAAGCGGGAGAGGAATTTTAGGTAATAAAAACCGGGGCAAGCATAGGGAAATATAAATGTAAATTGTGACTTCAACAGGCAGTCGTCTATCCATCTTTGCTGACCATATTCCTGTGTTGAGTTCTGGGATGAAAACGGAATGAAGTCACATCCTTCTTTTTTTTTTATTAAAGATTTATTTTTATTTATTTATACAAGCACTGGGTACAGTCAGAAGCGCGAGAGGGTGAGAGAATTCACCAGAGCCAGAGCGGGGAGCAGAGCAGGCAGAAGGACCGAAGTACACTGCTGAGGGGAGCAGCGGGCGGCAGGAGAGGTCTGCGCACCATGTGCGATCCTCCTCCAGTGGCCGGGGAGCAGCCAGGGATTGAACCTGTGCTGCAGAGGCTGTGGGCAGCTTCGCAACCCAGCGCTCAACCGCTGCACCACCGGGGAGGCTACATCTTTTTTTTTTTTTTTTTTTTTGAGGCATCTGAATCTAGATAGGTGGAGGAAGGGACAGGAGCTTAAAGACAGAACACCACCACCACTGCAGTGAATATACTGACACAGTAGAGGCTGTGGAATGGTCATGTCAGTGACGTCATTGACCCGGCATGGTGGTGGCAGATAAGGGAATGAATAAGGATACTTCTCAAGAAGATGACACCAAGACTTTGAAGATGTGTGGGGAACAGAGTGGTCAGAACTAAAAAGCTACTAATTAGTCAGCCACTGTGTCATCGATTGAACTTTTCTTACAAATGCCAACAGTATCAATTCTGGGAAACTACTCTTGTAAATTTAAAGATTGTTGCTCAACTCTTCTGGATAAGACAAAGGGTCTAAACATGCACT